TGGTAATCTTACCTCTACTCACAAGTAATGACACTGGGAGTGCAAAGGAAGAGTCAAAAGAGCAACTTGTGAGATCCAACAGCTAATGAAAAAAGGTAACTGGTAACCTTGTAAAAAGAACTGAGCATTGGCATTTGCCATTTGTGCCAAATCAAACAAAAATTGATATGTCCTAATATACATTAATAATCTATTTCTCTTTTCTTGTTATAGAATGATCCCACTCTTAGTGTGCAGAGGAGGATTTCTAAGTGTGTAGACTGTGCAAAATTAGTAAGAAATGGAAACTGTGAAGTGTTCAGTTTGAAGTTACAGAAGGACATTGACAAATTGGTGTAAGTGGGAAAATAGGTGGCAGATGACGTTTAGTGAGGATAAGTAGTCAGTTTGGCAGAAGGAACACAGGGATACCATATTAAATAAAGGGTGTGCAGGAGCAGAGAACTGGGTGTATGTGCACCTAAGTTATTAAAGGTGGCAGGACAAGTAGCATGAATAGTTTAAAGCATACAATATTCTTGGCTTTATTAACAGGGGCAGAGAGTACAGGAGCAAGGAGGGTCATTCTGACCTTGTTGCCACATTTTAGGAAGTATGTGAAACACATAGGAGATAGTGCAAGAGAGATTTATAAGAATCGTTCTACAGATGAGAAATTTCAGTTAAGAGGATAGATTGGAGAATTTGGGACTGTTTTCTTTGGAGAAGACTAAGAAGAAATCTAACAGAAGTTTTCAAAATCATGCGAGAGCTAGACGGAATAATCAGGGATAAACCTCTTAAAAGATTGAGGAGAAAAGGCCACAGGTATAAGGTAATTTGCAAAAGAAACAAATATAATGAGAGATCTTTTTTCAAAGATTGGGTAGTTAGAGTCTGGAATGCACTGCCTGGAAGGGTGGTGAAGGCTGGTTCAATTGAGGCATTCAAGAGGTAATTAGATAATTATTTAAATAGAAATAATATTCAGGGTTACAGGGAAAAGGCAGGAGAATGATTGTAAGTCAGAAATGCATTCAGAAAGCCAGTGCAGACATGATGGGCTGAATGGCCTCTGTCTAAACCATAACGAGACATAACTGGACAAGAATAATTAGGGCACAGTGATTAACTTATCACTTTCTCCCAATTCAATATACAATTCTTCATTTTAGAGCAACTTTTATACCCTGAATTATTCTAACACAAAACCGCACCTTACTTGTAGAATTATTGTGAAAAATCAGATGCACTCACCATGAACTTTGGACATGTTCTGAACTTGGAGGATGATCCAAAGAATTTTCAAAACCTCTGCTTTCACGTCCAAACGTGTATGACCTTACTGCCCCTAGGAATTAACAACAACAGTATTTAACTGCGCCTTTCATCTTATACCTAACACTATTATATAGAAATATCTCAATTGTATAATTCTCATCCTTTTTCAAATTCATTCTGAACTTGCTCCTCCCTACCTCTGAAATCTACTTTATCCTTACATCACTCCAAGATCTCCGCAAACATCCAATCTGGCCTCTTGAACATTCCTGATTTTTACTCTTCTACCACTGGTGGCCATGCCATCAGCTCTGGAACTCCGTTCCTAAACCTTTTTGTTAATCTAGCTCTCTCCCTTCCTTTGAAGCTCTTTTTAGGCCAAGCTTTTGTTGACCTGTCCTATTACCCTCCTGTGGTGCCTGATCTAAAGTTTAGTGTGATAATGCGTTTGTAAAGCACTTTGGGATATTTTACAGTGTTTAATATATGAAAGCAAGTGCTGTATGCTAGTTCATAGAATTGCCCCGCTAATAGTATTGTGGGTCAACCTACAACACATGGACTGCAGTTGCTCAAGAAGACAGCTCCCCACCACCTTCTCAAAGGCAACTAGGCACAGACAATAAATGCTAGCCCAGCCAGCAACATCCAAATCCTACGAACGAATAATGCATCCCAGTACTTTTTCCATTTTATATATTCACCAGTGAATGCTTTTCCATAATACAACAGTATTAGAGCAAGGATTTTACACTGATAAATGAGCAGCACAAAACTGTAGCTCATTCGTACTCCATTATCCATGACAAATCCTGATTGTGAATCCGAGTAGACGTGTCGATCTAAGGGACTACCCCACTGAAAGGGGTGGAGGGAAATCAGAAGGCAATCCCTGTTGGGATAGATACTTCACAGTGCCTCCAAGTCCAGTTAAAACTTCACCTCATTTTACCTGAGGGATGTTGTCACGAAAAGCAAGAAATGAAAAAAAATTTGGAAAAAGTACAAGCGTATTGTTATCTGCGCCTGACCTTTTATTCAATCTAACATTTGTAACCACTTTGCTATCCGTTTCCATCCTGTGAACAGGACTAGTATTTAATTGCCCCTAAAAGAAAACACTTACCGAGCTCATCTACAAAGAAGTGCGTGGCACCAGTAGAGGTATCATGATGCGATGAAGCCTCATGTCTTGGACTATCATTTGGACACATGGAGATATCCCAGCTTAATGAACAAGCATGGTTATCCTCTCCTTGGTTACCTTCTGAGCTGTAAATTGTTTCACAGGAATTTAAGTGGTCAGAACAGTGAGCACACTTATCTAAATTTAGTAGGATATCTGAGGCAAAAACAGAACATGCTGGAGAAATTCAGCAGGTCTGGCAGCATCTGTACAGAGATAAACAGTTATCGTTTCAAGCCCAGTGACCCCTCATCAGAACCGAAGAAAGCTTGGAAAGGGCAGTATTTATGCTGATTATGGGGAGGGGAATGGGGGTGAATGGAGTACATGGAGATAGTGCCCAGAGAGAGAAAAAGAGAGGAAAGACAGGGATAGCCAAATAAAGAAGTTGCTGATGACAAGTCGAGAAAGGGATAAATGTTGGGTGGGATGCTAACAAGAAGTGTAGATGGTTGAAAATGGGTTGGCTCTGCCGCAGCAACTCATTCAAAAGACGACCTTGGGTATAGGTAACGAACATGGAGGAAGATGTTCACGTCCTGAAATTGTTAAACTCAATGTTGAGTCATGAATGCTGTAAGGTACCAAGGTGGAAGATGAAACGCTGTTCTTGCAGCTTACATTGAGCCTCATTGGAGCACCTAAAACAAAATTGATGGCATGGGAACACAATGGTGAGTTGAAATGGCAGACAAATGGAAGCTTTGAGTCGTCATAATGGCCAGAACCGAGGTGTTTGACAAAGCAGTCACTGAGTCTGTGTTTTGTCTCCCCAGTGCAAATGAGTTCACATTGTGAACAGCGAATATAGTATTCTAGATTGAACGAGGTGCATGTAAATCACTGTTTCACCTGGAAGGCGCAACTGGGACCTTGGATTATGAGAAGGTAGGAAGTAAACGGGCTAAAGTTGCACCTTCTGTGATTGCAGGGAAATCTATGGAGAGGTGTTGGCAGTCAAGAAGGAATGGACCAGAATGTCACGGAGGGAATAGTCCCCGAGATAACAAGGTGTAGAGCTGAATGAACACAGCAGGCCAAGCAGCATCAGAGGACCAGGAAGGCCCGAAACGTCAGCCTTCCTGCTCCTCTGATGCTGCTTGGCCTGCTATGTTCATCCAGCTCTACACCTTGTTATCTCAGATTCTCCAGCATCTGTAGTTCCTACTATCTCGGGAATAGTCCCTGCTGGGTGCTGGCTGGGGGTGGAGTGGGAGGTGACTGTGTGTCTGGTGGTGGCATCCCGCTGGAGATGGTGGAAATGGAAGTTTCTGATTCTTTGGATATAGAGGCTGATGGAGTGGGAAGTGAGGACCACAGTGACACTATTGTCATTGACGGATGGAAGGGAAGGGGTGAAGGCAGAAATGTGGGAAATGGTCAGACATGGCATTGGGCCCCATCAACTGTGGTGGTGGGAAATCTTCGGTTGAGGAAAAAGGTAGACACTTCTGAGGCCCCCACCAAACCCGCAGAAGGAGGCATCATCAGATTATATGGGACAGAGATGGAGAAACTGGGAGAATGGAATGGAATTCCTACAGGAAGCAGTGTGTGAGGATGTATATTCGAGGTAATTGTGGGAGGTGGTAGGTTTGTACTATCAGTGGTCAGCCTATCCTCTAAATGGAAACAGATATTGAGGAAGGAAAGGAAGGAATCAGAGACAGACGTGGTGAAGGCAGCAGCAAGAGTTGAAAGTTGGAAGCAAAACTGAGTAAGGACTGGAACAAAGAATGTTCCACATAATCCACAAAGTGACAAGGCATAACAGTGTGGGTACCCACAGCTTTGATCTGAAGAAAGTGAGAGGAGTTAAAGCAAAGTTGTTCAAAATGAGGACCAGCTCAGCCAGGCGGAGGAAGGTGGCAGTGGATGGAGATGGCTCAGGACTTATCTCAAGAAAGAAGCAGAGAACCCTCAGACTATCTCAGTGAGGGATGGATGTGTAGAGTGACTGCACGTCCACAGCAAAGAGGAAAGGGCAGGTGCCAGCAAACTGGAAATATTGAAATTGACAAAAAGCGTCAGAAAAATCACATATTAACATGGGAAGGGACTGAACAATGGGAGAGAAAATTGAGTAAAGGTATGAAGTAATAAGTTCCATGGGGTGGGTACAGACCAGATCTGCCTGTGTAGTCCTGTTGTGGATTTTGGGGAAAAGATAGAAGCAGGCTATATATGGCAGCTTCCAGACATGTTGAGTTTCACCTGCATTTACTGCTTTTATTTCAGATTTCCAGCATCTGCAGTTATTTATTTTTATTCTAAGATAGTTGAGGGCTGGTTCAATGTTATTAACACACAGAAAAAAAACTGGGTTGAAGCTGGAATTGGTCGTCTACAGCTCCTAAGGATGTGAACAGCTCAAAAGGCTTTTTTGTTATAGTGTCCTGTGCTAATCAAGGTGTGAGATGTTATCTTTGGGGAACAGAGTCCTTGCCAGTGCCAACAGGAAGCACTCAGTCAAGCATAGTATAGCTAAACATATACAGTTACACAGCAATTACACTACAAAAACAAGCCATTTTATAACTGCGTTTGTAACTCGGCATGAGCAGCCTCCCACTCCACTTTGTCTAACCCAATCAACATATCCTATTCTTTTCTCTTTTATAAAGTTTCCACTTAAATGTATCTATTCTATTGTCCTCAACACCTCGAAATGGTAGTGAATTTCATATTCTAACAACTCTTTAGGTAATGACAGTCCTGCTGAATTCTATTAGATTTATGACTTAATGTTTCCAACACCAGGTGATGGTTGTATACAATTAAATATTCATCTTTAGCTCAGATGTTGCCACGCAGATGCTGAATCAAGATCGTAATTACAATTTCACGAGAAAAATAAGAGAATTTCTATAGTGAAAAGAAATCCCATTCCAGATAAAAGACAAAACAGAAGTTAAAAGCCATTATCAAATTGTTTAAAAGTTCTGAAGAAGTGTCATCTTGGACTCAAGGTGCTAACCCTGTTTCTCTCTCCAAAGATGCTGCAAAATCTGCTGAATTTTTCTAGAATACTGTTTTTATGTGATGGAGAGAGATGCAGACCAAAGCTAAGCATCTAAGAATGAGGTCACTCAATTGATCAAGCTGACATAATAGGGGACGTTGTGAAAACAATGAAGTGAATATAGCACAACTCACCTGGGATTTTCCACCCTACATCTCACTGGTGAGAAACCTTGCTAAGGAGAAGAACTCAGTATATCTAACCTAATTGATCAAAACTGCAGATATTTTAAAATAGAGATAACAAGGTGTAGAGCTGGATGAATACAGCAGGCCAAGCAGCATCAGAGGAGCAGGAAAGCTGACGTTTCGGGTCTTCTTCACCTGAAGAAGGGTCTAGATCCGAAACGTCAGCT